TACAGTGAAATGTGTCCCAACAAAGTTGGCCCGCAGTTTTCCCGCCAGACGGCAGCTCGATCGAGAGAGATCGGTTGCGTCAAAAGAGATGACGTAGTTGCTGGTGGTCGAGCGGCGTCTTCGGCGGGCAGCAAGGAGAAAGAATCGACGACCATCGTCCCGCTCGAGATGGAGAAAGTAGGTTGGAAAGAAACCCCGATCGACACCGCGCTTGTCCCGACTGATTCGGCAGCGAACCCTGGTGCCCTTATGATCGGAAAAAAACGAAATCTGAAATGCGCTGGTTATAACCTTAATTAAAAAGATACATCGCACATTCCATTTGTAACCTTACATAAAAGCATTGAAGCTTGGTTAGAAAAATCATTTCTGCGTGTATAGGTGTATTGTCGACCTTTGAACCAAACTGACAGCAAAATAGAAATAAAGGCTAAACAGTTTGGTCAATAGCACGATTTCAAAACTTAAATTCATGTTAGCAAATTTCTCACACACTAGGTTTTACAGCCACAGGTTCCGTTATTTGTTTTGCAGTAAAACAAGGGAAATTTGAGAGGCTTGCTCCCTCACAAGGAAAGCCGAATATTTCACGTGATTTCTGCCAGGTTAAACATTTACAATTGCGACCCTAATTCACAAGTCCTCAACTCTTGCGTGTGACGTCAGTAAATTGAAACATTAAATCTTTGCGTAAAATATCCGGCCTGATTGCCGAGGCAGTATTACAACGACTAGAGGCACTGGTTTCGACCACTATCGACCACGACTGTGGATCCGGTATGTTGATGACACGTTTGTCGTTTTCAGTCGAGACAGGATTGGGGATTTCACAGAGAATCTGAATTACATCTTCCCTGACATTCAGTTCACGATGAAGGAAGAAAAGGACTGCCAGTTGCCATTCTTCGACGTGTTGGTGTGCAGAAAAAGCGATGGGGAACTCAAAACAACAGTTTACAGAAAGGCGACGAATACGTCGCGTATTCTGAGTTACCTCAGAATGCATCCCGTCACGCACAAACGTAGCTGCGTGCGAACCCTATATCGCCGCCTAGAAACCCACTGCAGCGAACCAGCCGACAAGAAGGCCGAGGTCAAGTATCTGCGGAAACTTTTCACAATGAATGGCTATCCTGGCGCATTCGTCGAAAAATGCAGGCGAGGAGCCAAACGAAGAAAACCAACGGGACGGCCAGGACCGACACGCTACCGAGCAATACCTTATGTTTCTGGTGTATCCGAAGAATTCGCTCGACTGGTCAGCGAATTTGGGATTGGCGT